ATACACCGAGGTTTTTTTATTTTTTATTTTTTTCACCCAGCCAGTTGTAGTCTTCCAAATAAGTCAGAGAGAAAAAAGAAAGCTCTTGGTAGCTCTCAGCTTTCTGCCATTTGTGCTAGCCGAGCTGTGGTGGAGTGGCAGATTCCAAGGGACCTGCTGGTGATGTGGACGTGAGTTATTTCAGGATAGGTCCTTTTTTGGCTGTGGGTATTATGGGAACACAAGTTCCCTGCTCCTACATCGGGAGGCAGGGCCAGCACTCATCTGCTCCTCTGGGGCTGTTTCTGGTTGCTGTGGCGATGGGCCCCACCCTGGGGCTCCCAGCCCGGACCTCCTGGCTCTGTCAAGTTCAACTTCCCCAGATACAGCTGCCAGGTCCRTTCTGAGCGATTCCTGCTGGAGGGGTGTTTATAAAAACCTCTGCTGTTCATTCCCACTTCTCTGCCTCCCAGATCCCAGAAAGCTGGAGAGAGGTGGGGTCACATCTGAAGATGCTGCACCCCTACACGGAGGAGCAAGGGCTGGAAGGACGCCTCTGTAACAGGGAGCTCAAGGACAGGAGCGATAGGGGAGGCTGAGACACAGAGAAGCTGAGTGCCTTGCTTGAAGGCACACAGGAAATGACTGAAGTAGAATGTTTAGCCAAGATTTTCTGACTCTCTCTGTTGTTTTTAATATTTATTTATTTATTTATTTATTTATTTATTTATTTAGTTGTTGATAGTCCTTTTTTAATTTAATTTTTAGTTGTAGTTGGACACAATACCTTATTTTATTTATTTATTTTCATGTAGTGCTGAGGATTGAACCCAGGACCTCACACATGCTAGGCGAGCACTCTACCACTGAGCCACAACCCCAGCCCCTAGACCTTTATTTCTATCTATTTATATGTGGTGCTGAGAACTGAACCCAGGCAAGTGCGCAACCACTGAGCCCCAGCTCCAGCCCCTTCGTCTTGTTTTGTTGGTTGGTTTGATTTCGTTTCGTGAGGCTGGGGCTTGAATCCAGGGCCCATGTACCCTAAGCATGTGCTGGGCCAGTTGTAGCATTAAATACACCCCCTGTCCAAATTTCTGATTCCAGAACTCACACACAAAACCATTTTCTGATGCTGGATCAAAAAAAAAAAAAACATTGTTTGTATATTAAAGCAAGATCTGAGGTATTCTACAGTAAAATTCAAAATTTGAATATCATTTAAAGACAAAGTCTCCAGGGGCTGGCACTGTRGCTCAATGGAAGAGTGCTTGCCTAGCACATGTGAGGCGCTGGGTTTGATCCTCAGTAACAGATAAAAAGAGATAAATAAATAAAGGCATTGTGTAAAAAAGCATCTTAAAAAAGAGAGGGAAAGTAGACAGCTAGTGAAGACTATGGCCTTCCTGCCTCAGTGCGGGCTTGGTATTCCTCTGGGCCCGGGTCCTCTGTGGTGCGGGCTCCCTCGGCAACCCCTTCTCTAAAAGCACTTGCAAAGGACGTGGAGGTTCTCCATCCTGAGCCCCTCAAGACGACCCAGGGCCTTCTGCTGTTCTCTTTGGGGTTTTGCTCACTTGCTTTTGGTTGTTTTGCGGTGCTGGGAATTGAACTCGAGACCTCTTCCTTGCTAGGCAAGCAGTCTACACCCCCAGCCACAGTCCTGCACTTCTTCCCCTGACCCCCAGGCACGGGGGACTGAACCCAGGGGTGTTCTACCAGTGAGTTCCATCTCTGGCCCTTTTTGTTTTTMTTTTGAGACAGGGTCTTGCTCAGTGGCCCAGGTTGGTCTTGAACTTGTGATCCACTTGCCTCAGCCTCCTGAATCCCTGGGATTACAGGCGTGTTTCCAAGCCCAGTCACGCTGCAGTTCTTCTGCATCTTCCAGAAGGTGTGACTGTGCAGAAAGGGAATGAATGGGCCTGTGTTCTAGATTCTGAAGTCGGCCTTGCAGGGGGACGTGTGCTGGGTGTGGGGCTGAATGGGACACAGACTCTGCAGCTCAGTGCTCTTTTTCTCCCTGGGGCAAAAACAAGCTGCAGCCCAACCCAGCTGCCTGCAAACCTCAACCACGCCCAGGTCAGCCCCATCTTCCTGGCCAGGCCCTCAGTTTAGCCACAGTCTCGGTCCAGCCTCACCCTCTGTGAGGGGAAGGGAGTGTTCCTTGGGCCTTGGGAGGGGACAGAGACGAGCCAGAAGAGGACTGTGGGCCTCCCTGCGCTCCGGGAGGGCTACAGGAACTGGCGGTCTCCAGCTGCCCAGAGGGGAGTGAGGCAGAGGCCCTTTCTCCACTGGGTTTGGAACTCTGGGGCATATTTCCCACAGAAACAAGGCTCAAGTAGAGGTTGGCTCTGTGCCTGGCCCAGAAGAGCCATGTTCGGCTCACAGCACCACAGCTCCAAACCTTCACCCTCCACCATTGTCTAGACTGGCAGGGCCTCTGGCAGGAGCTTCTGAGACCACAGACCCTCGGGCAGCTCTGCCAAGACTCTGGGGACCGTGGGAACTAGGGCCTGGCAGAGAGCAACTCTTACACAGGCCACAATGCTGGGAGGCGGGGCTGTGTGTGTGTGTGTGTGTGTGTGTGTGTGTGTGTGTTTAGACATTTCTAAGCACAGGACACACCTAAGATGTGGAATGCGGACAGAATGGCCTGGATGGGGCAGCCCTGGGCAGCTTCTTGCTGCCTCTGAGCCTCGGATTCATCTATAAATGGTAGTGGGACTAGATCTGTGGTTCAGGGTTTATTAAGTAAAATCATCTCTGACTAAAGTGTTGGCAGGGGGTGGGGGGACGGCTTCCACCCTGTTTCCTCCCTCTCTTAGCCCACCTAGCCCAGCCTCCTGGGTCTCCTCAGAGTGTTGTTGCAAGACCCTGGACTGCATCCACACTCTCACACCATACAGGCAGACACTAATGCACACATCTCTCTCTCTCACACACGCGCACACACACACACACACACACACACACAAACGCACCCCTCTCCCAGACACTCCCTCTCTAACACTCTCCTAGGGTTACAGGTGAAGAGCAGGGTTGTCGATCACACTCCAAACTGGAGCTTCCGAAGCCCAGGCCTCAGCCCCAGCCCCAGCCCCAGCCCCAGCCCCAGCCTCTTGCTAGATATGCAGCCGTGGGCGAACCGATCCCCCACTCTAAATTGTAAGACTGTGGTGCTGGGATTGGGGATTGAGAAGCTTGTCTCACAGGCTCCACGCCAATCTTTGAAAGTTGCAAGTGGCACACTTGTGGGTAGTTGTGGCACATCTTGTGGGTAGTTGTGGTAGATGTGAGCACTCAGGCCAAATTGTTACCTCTGTTGACGGGTGAGGAGTCCTTGCTTTCCCAGTGTTSAAGAATAACACCAGAGAAGCACGCCGAGGCAAGGTCAGAGTGGAAAACAGAAGTTTATTAAAGGACAGCAGAAAAGACTTCTCCCAGAGGAAGAAGGGGACCCAAGAGGTGGAATCTGTTGAAGGGCAAATGTGTTCCCCTTTTTATAGTTTTTGGTGATGGAATATAGGTGGGAAGGGTTGGGACACAGGTGGGCCAAAGAAGTAATTCAGGGCACTTTGGAGTCACGTTTGCTGTTCCTTATCACTTCTTTGGGATGGGCTATCTCCAAATCTGTTGGGGGCTGTTTCCTGGGCTTCATTAACATTCCAAGAGYTGCTCAACTTTTCCGAAATTCATTCTCAACATGGCCTCCATTTTAGATTTCACTCCATATTAGACCCGATTTACCTAACTACACTGACGACCTAATTTTAAAKCTGGCTTCAAAATTCCACCAAAGAAGCTCCAGGCCTGTTTGCCAAACTCACATTCCAGGACAAGTCAGGGCCTCCTGCAGGGTCTGGGAGCAGGGGGTTCTCCAGTCAGAGAAGGTGGATGTGCCAAGCTGAGGGAGGAAATGAGCCAGAGCAGGTAGCCGAGGGGCAGGCAAGGCCTTGGAAGGTGGAGGCTAGCAGCAGGTGGGGAGAGGCTCTAGGAAGTCCCAGCTACACTGGAGCAGTGGAGTGGCCCCTTGCTGGGTGAGCTGGGACCTGTGGGACCCTGGCTGCCATGGGAACGGGGCTGAAACACACAGCACCGGGAGCAGAGAGGCCCCGCCTGGAAAAACAACATCCTGGCCRCTGCCCCCAGACTGCAAGGGAGGCCTATTTTTAGCTGCAGAGGCCTGGGGCAGGACTTGTATGGCCTTGCTGTCTGGCTGTCTAACTCACCATTGTCCTGCCTGACCTCACCTGATGCCTGGGAGGCCTCTCTGTCTGCCCCTTGCCCTCTAGGCCCATTCTAGGGTGCACTGGGCCTTGGAGAAGAGAGAGGGAGCTGGCCTGGAAACCCAGGTGCCTGGCAGGCTGGGGAGACCCAGGCCAGGCAGGGGGCCAGGCAGGGGGCCAGGCAGGGGGCCGTGCAGAGTCCCGAGCCCTCCTCAGAGCAGCACAGCCAGAGGCTCTCCTGCTGCGCCGGGCCCTGGGGTCCCCAGACTGGAGGACCAGTGTGGTGGTGCAGATACACAGCTGCCCGTGGAGACCTGAGGCCCAGGCTGTCTCCAGGAGAGGACATGGGACCTAATTTGTCAATGTTCTCCGCTCCAGCCACACCCTGGAGTGGTCTGAGTCACACAGCTCTCTGGCTGAGGTGCGTATGTGAAAGAAGCCCCGGTCTCCACTCTTGTCCTTCCCCAGGTGTCCTGCTCTGCTCTTTGGGGGGCGAGGGTGACCTCTGTGTTTTATTCTGGCCGGCAAAGTGCAGGTCCAGACCTGGCTGTGGCTTCAAGGATGAAAAGAGCTGGTAAGAGCTGGGCTGTCCAGAGCAAATATGGGAGACGCCAGGGTGACTGTGGGGCTGGAGCCTGTGGAAGAAGCCACCTCTGGCTGCCCCTGCCGAGAACTAGGGAGTGGGGGTGCCCTGAAGGGGCTCTGTTCCGCCTCTCACCTGCCCACACTAGGCCAGCTGTTAAAAGCTGAGAAGTCCTGTGGATTCTTAAAAAGAGTGACTAAAAAGGGAGTCATCCATTCAGCAAACGTTTAGTTTATTSAGCACCTACTGTGTGTCTGGCACTGGTCTAAAAACCTGGAAAAGGAGGGGTTGGGGCAGACTGGATCCATCCCAGCTGAAGCTTTCTCTTCCAGAAACAAGGCTAGGGGTCCTCCTATAGAAAGTGGAAGGCCCACGTCACCTCCGCTTTAGCACGGATATGCAGGACTTCTTGAGGGGCCCGATCTGCAGATGGGCATCCACACTCTCCAGGAAGAAGGCCGGCTTGAGCCTGTGAGTGAAGAGCCCTGCAAAGTGGCTGTCCAGGCGGCTCTGGAAGGGGTCGGCAGGAGAGGCCGGAACACCACTCCGGCGTGGCCGGGAGGCCTTCAGCCTCCTCAAAAGGCTCATCTTGCCATCGCGAACAGCATAGAAAGTCAAGGCCCGGTCAGCGTACTCCAGGCAGATTCCGACCGTGGGTGAGAAGGGCTGGGGGAGAGCCGCCTCCAGCCCRTGGAACCAGACAGAGAAGTTGCGTCCATTCCACTGCAGGCAGCAGGAGTATGCGTTGCGGCCCAGCCGGCCCCGGTCATAGGGCTCTTGTGGGGAGAAGCCTTCGGCCATGACCCCCACGCTAACCCAGCCCTCAATGATCTCTACCTCCCAGTAGTAGGTGCCACGGTCCAGGGCGCCTTCCCCCAGCACCTGTTCGCAGTGGGTGAAGCGGGTGGGCGACTCAGGGTAATTGATGGGACACAGCACTCTCTTGACTCCTTTGGTTCCAAACAGTTGCAGGAACTTATCTGCCGTGTCGCTATCCAAGTCCACGATGTAGGCGACTGAACCCACAGATGGAAGAGAGATGCAGGGCTCAGGGCCAGACTCAGATAAGATGGTCCCCCCACAGGTGCCCACCCCCCTTAAACACAGCCTCACCCCTCTGTGGCAACCAGCATAACTCAACACCAAGCTGACGTCATTCACCCCAGGAACTACGGAGGGGAGTCCAACCTCCTGATGTCAGGACCATGCTGGGGCCTGTTTATGAGACCCCCATGGGAACAGGAAGGCAGTGTCTACTTACACTTGAGGAAATAGTCCCTGGGAATGTCACTCTCCAGGTGGTTCGTGCTATCGGGGTCTTGGGACTCGCTGTCAGCTGCAGAAGAAGGGACAGTGGCAAGCACATCCCCCAGACTCCCAAGGCTAGGCCGAGCACAGGGCCCACCCCAGAACCTGTGACTGCAACTCCCTCTGCCTGCCTTCCTCCCAAAGCCACCTGGGGACAGATACACATCCACCCATGCCACCTCGTGGGCTCATACAGGTCTATGCCTGAATTGTACTCCACTTGCTCCTTGGGTCTCAGCCCCTCTGAAGCTAGAAGCTGGGCTGTAGCCAAAGAGCTGACTGGTCAACAGAGGATGGTGGCTCCAGTCCCTGGCGGGTTTGGGGTCTCTTCCTGTACCAGGCACAGTTTCCCTCCTCCATCCTGAATGGGGACCAGGCCCGGAGGCCTGTGTGAGGAGCCCAGGGAACAGTGAGTCATCTGTGGGACACTCACCTTCTGAGCCCAGCTTCTGTAGCCCGTCATCGCTGCCCAGACCCCGCAGCTGCTCCCACTGGCTGGCACAGGCCGAGGCCAGCACATCTCTCACTGCCCGGACAGCTTGGGAGGACTTGGTGAAGCTGAGCTCCCTGGGGGGACCAGGTCCAGGGCCGCACCCCTCTTCCAGGGCCAGCCGTAGTGCCAGGAGCTCCTGTGCCAGACAGGTGCTGGTTAAGTCTCCACTGGACACAGTTCCTCCAGGCTGGGGTGGGGCAGCACCACCAGGAGGCTGGCACAGCCCCAGAAAGCCAAGCACTCCCTGACCCCACCTCCACCTCCCACCACGGTGGCCCCAGGGTGGCCCTCACCTGCAGGAAGCTGACTGAGTCTGCTTCAGGGACCTGACCGAGGTTGTGGCGGGCCCGGCTTAGGCGGCTGCGTTGTTCCTCCTGTCGCCGAAGGTCGCCCTGGGAGCGGCCCAGCATGGCAGCCTCCCCCTCCTCGATGAAGCCTAGCACCTCTGTCTGGAAGCCCTGCAGGGTGGCAGCAGCCTTGGCAAATAGCTGGCTCACCCTCTCCCGCTCTGCTACAGCGGCGCTCTGCAAGGACAGCAGTGGAGGCAGCAATGAGGGCAGGGAACAGGCCTGGCCTTTGACTCCACATGCCCACCCTGCCCTCTTGGGGGAATGCAGGAGCTGGATCTGTGACAGGTCAGGGGAGATGCTCATGCTTAATGGGGTCTGATAGTACCCTGAGCATGGTCTTGTTTGGAGTGATTGTACCATGTTGAAAGGTCTTGCTGCCAGTGCACAGGGATGGGGGTTAGGGAGGGTCTGACCTTGATGAGGGCCACCGTGCGCCGGGACTGGGCAATGCATGCACCCAGCTCATCCATTCGGTCCTCCACAGCACTCAGGACTTTGGGCTGCTCAGCCTGTGGATGACACCTCTTTGAGTACCAGGTCTGGCAGAGGCCCCAGCCCTACAAAGGTCCCAGGACTTGCCAGGGGAGAGGGGAATGGTGACCAGGGAAAGATATCTGTGGATCAGTGGGATCAGAGTGGCCATCATATTCCATAATATGCCAGGGGTGCCAGGATGGTCCATTACCAAATTCCTGGTGAGGGGCAGGCTGACTGTGGGTGTCTGCTTCTCCTCTGATCAGCCCTCAAGACAGGGCCATCAGCTATCCACCCATCTCAATGTTGCTGAAATTAATTTGAGAATTTCCTCCAGCGAGGAAGAAAGTGAGGTGAGACTGTGACCACACAAGAGGGCATAATCCGTGGGGATCACTGTCCCCAAAGAGCCTGCATTTCCAATCCAGGCCCGAAAAAAGGGGATTCCGGGCAAATCCCCTGGGTCTTATGAGTCACTGCTCCAGGCAGGAGAGACGGAAAATCCCAAGGCCAGAGGCGTCTGGACCCGGCAAGAGGCCAAAGGAAACTGGGGGCGGGAGGTAGCGGGACGCTGCGCACATGTTCCCACCACTGCCCGGCCCGGAACAGCTAGACAGAGGATCTGTGTGTCCAGCCCACCCTCTGTCGCACTCCTGTCGCCTGCCACACCCATCCAAAGTGGCTGCCTCATCCTAGGGCAATCTGAGCTGGGACTGGCTCGAGCCAAGCGTCATCAGCTCTGCTGCCTTTGCAGGAACCAGCAGCTCCCGCCCCTACCAGGCTCTGGGGGCTAACCCGGCTTCCAGCAGCCTCATATCCCCAGGACACTAACCTGGCTTCAGATCTCCTGCTCGTGCTCGCCCTTCGCGTCCTTTTTATCAATCTCACTAGTCCCTCCTTCCCACCTTCCCATCTCCGCCACCGCAAGCGACAAACATTGTCAAGCCGGGAGTGTAAAGACCCTCAGAGGAGATTAAGACACAACCCAAGAAGAGTGTAGGGTCCACTGCCCTCGGCCTGCTCGCGCACAGCCAGTCTCCCCCCGCCGGCCACCTAAGGTGCCCACACCCCACCTCCTGGAGCGCGCGCTCTTGCTCCAGCGTCACGAGCTCGTGGCCGCGGTGCTCCTGGGCGGCGCAGGCCTCGCACAGGCACACGCGCTCGACGCGGCAGTAGCGCTCCAGCGGCCGCAGGTGGCGCGGACACAGGCTCTCCTCCAGCCGGCGCAGCGGTGGCACCAGGCGGTGCCCGCGCAGTGCGGGGCTGCGCTCGTGCGGGCCCAGGTGCGCGGGGCAGAAGGAGGCAAGGCAGGAGAGGCAGGAGAGCGCCGCAGGCAGGGCCGCACCCTCGGGGCACGCGTCACAGCGCACGGGCTCTTCCCCGGCGGGCCAGGGCTCGGGTTCGCACGGAGCAGACGGTTCCGGAGCGCTTGGCTGAGCGCTGGGCGCTGAGGGCTCCGGCGTCGGGCGCCGTGCAGGGGCTGGGGCCGGGGAGGGCATGGCGGGGCCCGAGCCCTGGCGTAGCTGCAGCAGCTCGGACAGTGTGTGGTTCTTGCGGAGCTGCAGGCCGTCGGGGAAAGGTTCCTGGCACAGAGGGCAGCGGGCTGCGCCTCCAGAACCGCCCGTGCCTCCTGCGCTGCGGTGCGGCCAGAGAGCGCCCAGGCAGGCGAGGCAGAAGTTGTGGCCGCAGGGCAGCGTCACCGGCTCCCGAAGCGGCTCGAGGCAGATGGGGCAGCTGAAGGGCCCGCTGCCGTCCATGGCTCCGCGGCCGCCTGGCGCCGCCTGTTCTGCTCCCGCCTGGGAGGGACTCGGACCGTTCGCGCCCTGGCACCGCCCTTTGGGACAAAGGCCAAGGGTCCCGCCCCCCACGTCCCTCCCTCGGCTCGGCCCGCCTCAGCGCAGCCCGCTCGCGGGTCCTCGGATGTTGGGCCCCGCCTGACTTGAAGAGGCTTCTGCGCGCCCGCCCTGCCTGGGTCCTCCACCCCTCGCGCTTCGAGGGAAGCGCTGCTGAAAGTGTCAAAGAAACGAGGGCAGGGAATTGAGGGGGGACACAGGAAGGAGTCTGGGAAAGAGTTCCCACCCACCCTTGCCCTGCCCCGGACGCATGGGGAGTGGGCGCGCTCAGATCTGGCACACCAGCACCTTTCCTCTCAACTCCAGACCTCCTTGGCACCGTTAGCAAAGGTGGTGAGCTGCTGACTGCAGAGAAAGTAACTGCTGATGTGTGTATGTTTTTGCCCCTTAGCGACTTTATTTACCCCCAGTGGGGAAGTTGGACTTTTCTAGACTTGGAATGGGAAGTTGACGTCACCCCCAAAGTCCCTGGTCTAAGGAATTTAGTCTGGTCAATAGACTCTTGCAGGCACCTATGGTGCGTCAGGGAGGGATTGGGAATTCCCCAAGAGGAGGCATGGGTTAAGATTCACATGAACCCAAAGTATAAAAAAACAAATCCATGAGTTCATATTAATACTAATGAGTAATTGGGTAAATGAATAATGGGGAAGAGTAGGCACATTCCTCATTCAGGAGACTTCCAAATAATCTTTGTAGATTCTCCAAGGTGGAGCATAGTTTTCCACTTCTTATGTGTGATTGTGAAGAGAGACTTTCTTGTAAAAGAAGCAAAAGAGTAGTTTCACAGTGGAGAATCCTGCTGAACCCCATTTTAACCAGGTGATCAAGGTCAACATCAAAAGTTAGCATGGAGGGGCTGGGGTTGTGGCTCAGCGGTAGAGCGCTTGCCTAGCATGTGCGAGGCACTGGGTTCTATCCTCAGCACCACATAAAAATAAAATAAACAAAATAAAGGTATTGTGTCCAACTACAACTAAAAAAATATATTAAAAAAATTAGCATGGACTGACACTTTCTCCCGTTTTAGTCCCTCCAGGACTGGGAATTGAAATCAGACCCTTCAACATTCTAGGCAAGTGCTCTACCACTGAGATAACATCATCCCCAGCACCCCCTCACCTTTTTTTGTGATAGGGTCTTGCTGATTTGCTTAGGGTCTCACTAAATTGCTGAGGCTGACTTTGAACTTGCAATCCTCCTTCCCCAGTTTCTTGAGTCATTGGGATTACAGGTGTGCTCCAACGTGTCTGGAAGAATGCCTACTTTAGAAAGATGCTATGTTGCTGGGCATGGTGGCCCAGGTCTGTAATCCCATTTACTCAGGAGGCTGAGGCAGGAGCTTAACAAATTCAAGACCAGCCAGGGCAACTTAGTGAGATCCTGTCTCAAACAAAAAAAGGCGTGGGGGCTGCAGTTCAGTGGTAGAGTGCCCCTTCAATCTCGATACTGGGAGAAAAAAAAAAGAACAGAGTCCCCCCCACCTCGCACCCCCCCACACTCTGGCCCCCCGACATTCTAGGCAAGTACTCTCCCACTGATACTACATCCCCAGGAGGGGCCAGGGCCTGTTAACCTCAGGACCTGCCACAAGAAGGGTCTAGGGTCAGGGTGTCTGGAAGCTGGATAGTTTAAAAACAGCAGAGGCTTGGCTCAGTGTTGGAGCACCTGCCCCTCATGCACGAGGCTCTGGTTCAGTCCTCAGTACTGCCACACACACACACACACACACACACACACACACACACACACACACTTGTTCTCTCACTGTTCAGTAAGCCATAATCCATAATCGGAAACCAAGATGCCAACAGGCCATTTCTTTTCAGAGAATCCAAGAACAAACCTGTCCCACTCCTGTCTGCAGCTTTTTGTTTGTTTGTTTGTTTTAGTTGTAGATGGACACAATATCTTTATTTTATTTTTCATTCATTTATTTTTTATGTGGTTCTGGGGATCGAACCCAGTGCCTCTCACTTGCTACACAAGCGCTCTACCACTGAGCCCCAGCCCCAGCCCGCCTCCAGCTTTTTGTTTAGCTGGCAATCCTTGGTGTTCTTGCTTTTCCATGTATCACTCTGATATTGGTTTCTATGTGACGTGCCCTCTTCTCTGTGACAAATTTCCTTTTTTTTTTTTAACCCAGTGCCTTGCAAGTGCCAAGCATATATTGTTTCACCGAGCTGCACTACAACCCTAGACCCTGATTTCCTCTTTTTATAAGACACCTGTCTTTAGGTAGAGTCCTCCCTACTCCAGTATGCCCCCCCCCTTTTTTTTGTACCAGGAATTGAACCCAGGAGCACTTAACCACCAATCGGCATCCAGCCCTTTTTATAGTTTATTGAGAGACAGGGTCTCTCTAAGTTGCTTAGGGCCTTGCTAAGTTTCTGAGGCTGGCTTTGAACTTGTGATCCTTCTGCTTCAGCCTCCCAAGCCACGCCACTACACCTGGCTCCAGTTGCCCTCATTTTAACTTGTCTATGTTCGGCAATACCCTATTTTCAAATAAAGTCAGAGTCATGGGTATGGGGGTTAGGACCTGAATACTTTGAGGGGAGCACACAATTCAACCTGGAACAGTGCACAAGTCAGGAGGAACTTAGGGAACACCCAGATTAGCAGTGCCAGGGGTCATGAGTGTCCCTAAGTTCCTATCTCTCTCTGTACTCTAGGACCCTGGCCCTTCCTCATGCTTCAGCACACACTGCTGCCACCACCGCAATCCCTCCTGCCTCCTGCCGGGCATTCATGGCTGCCTCTGTTTCTCTGGCTCTCCAGGTTTAGAAGTGGGATAATCTTAAATCCCTGAGACCAAGTTTTTTTGTTTTCATTTGTTTGAAACTGGGGATTGAACCAGGGGCTGCAGTTATAATTGCCATTTTGATTCAAGCGAGATGGAATCTCTGTGTATTTTAATTTTAAGGGATCCTCTACCCTTAGTTAGGTCCCCAGCTGCATTTAATTTTCTCAAGACAGGATCTTGCTAAATTATCGGGACTGGTCTTTTTTTTTTTTTTTAATATTTATTTTTTAGTTTTTGGCGGACACAACATCTTTGTTGGTATGTGGTGCTGAGGATCGAACCCGGGGCTGCATGCATGCCAGGCGAGCGCGCTACCGCTTGAGCCACATCCCCAGCCCCTCAGGACTGGTCTTGTACTTGGAATCCTCCTTCCTCAGCCTCCCAAGTTGCTGGGTTCATAAGTGTGTACCTTTGCCCTAGGACTAGGTTGGAAACTTTTAGAAGGCATTGAATGAATTAGGAATCAAAGAGAAAACTGAAGTAGAAGAGTACAAACCTGCCAACAGGCCATTCTTCTTGAATGAATAACGCCCAAGCCCACCTGCCTCCATAGCTTTCTCTGGGYCCCCAGGAAGTCCGTCCTTATCATACAAATGGTGCTGAGTGCCACCCTCCCCAACTACTCCCCTCCCTCTTCTCCCTGCCAGTATAGGCTGCCCCTCCAGACCTCCCGTCTTCCAAATAATCTAGTCAAGGAGCTGGCTTGACTAAATCTGTGTTGGAGTAGAAGTTCCTCATGCAGATGTCCCCATCTGACCCCCTGAGCAGGCCCTTTTGACCTGCACCCATTTTTGTTTTGTTTTGTTTTGTTTTGCTTTTGTTGCTGGGGGCGAACCCAGGGCTTCATGCATGATAGGCAAGCACTGTACCATTGAACTGCACCCACAGGCCTGAAGTTTTGTTTTGTTCTTTTTAAAAAGCAGCTGGATTAAAGTTAATTCACAAACTGTACAATCTGAGCATTTTACGTGTGCAGTGCATTGGTTATTTCTGGTCTTCACAGAGTCTTTGTTGTGGGCTGTCTTGGCAATGCAGGAAGGTGAGCAGCATGTCCGGCCTCCAACCACAGGTACCAGTCGTGACAATCAAATTTGTCTCCAGGTATTGCCCAGTGTCTCTGAAGGGACCAGACTCTCAGCGGGGGGCCTCCTGTTTTATCCAAAGTGTTCAGGCTTCCCTCCCACTGAGCAGGAAGCTGTTGTTCCTCTGGTCCCACAGAAAGGCAGGGATTGTCTCCCGACCTCCACCTCCCTGTGTAGTCATCAAGGCTTTGTCGTCAAGCTCTTCATGGGCGCCTCCCCTGGGCTGTCATCCAAGGCTTTGTGGAGGGTATGGGGTGGGCACTGTCTGTAGGAGTGAAGAAATGGGGGGAGGGGGAGCCAGTCTATTGTGGAAAGGAGCCCTGTGTGCAAAGAGCCCTGCCTTAGTTGGGACTAGCAGAGGACAGGGACAAGTGGCTTGTAAACAGGAGGCATTCGTTTGAGGAGCCTGGAAGGGAACCAGCAGGGTCAGGCTCTGGTGAGGGCCCTCTCCCAGGTTGCAGATTGCTGGCATCTTGTCTAGTCCCCACATGGTGAGGAAGAGGGACAGAGAGCTGGGGCTGCTTTGACAGAGACACTAACCTCCCCCACAAGGACTCCCTTCTCAAGAACTAATCACCTGGCAAAGGTGCTCCTCCTCCTTGGGGGTTAGGATTTCGACATGTGAACTCTGGGGGGACAGATACTTTCTGATGATGATTGCGAACCCCTTTCAGGTAGAGAACAAATGCCAAAAGAGGTACAGTCCATGCCTGGGATTCATGGCGGAGGCTGGGGGATGGTGGAAATGACCTTTGAACTGGACTGCCACTGGTTGCTGTGGCTCAGGCAGGCGGGAGGGTTCTGGGAAAAGATCTTCTGGACAGAATTTGTAGTGGATGGGGGAAGCCTGGGTGTGCCCAGCTTGGCAGGAAGGCCGATAATGAGTTCCATACGTTGGTTGTTGGTTTAGAAAAGGAGCACTGGATCCTGGCCGTCCCTTGTTTGCCAAGACCCAGGGTGGCTGGGAAGCCCGGGCATCAGCACTACCCTGATCAGAACTTGGCTGTGTGGATTTTGGACTTGCTGAGACCATAGACCT